AACACGTTTTGAAACCCCTTTCAGACGTTCTTCAGACTTTGCAAGTAAATTTGTATAAACCACTTTGGTTATGAATGTCAGAAGTACCTTTGTTCGTCACCCCCTTTCTCAACATGTTTTCTGTTTCTGCATTCCTTGTCTGATGTTACGCTGAAATATGCATAGTTACTCATTCTTCTTTGTCTCAACAGGACATGTGTGTAGAGTCGCATGAATAAATCATGACCAGTGGGAAATATTTATGGCGGATTATTCTAATAAACTGTAGAGACTCCATTTATAAAACAATACACACGAGGCATCATGAATATTAGACATTACATTTCTTGTTGAGCCAGCAAATGAGATTTGTTCATGCCATGACGTCGTACATATGTCATGTGAAATTAACCCTTTAAAGCCCAGTGGTAACTATATATACCTCATGATTTAACAATACGTAAAACTACATTTTGTACTAATGGATGTCCTATTATTCTCAAAATACTACGTTACTGAAATGACATTTGTGATCGTAAAATATTATGTTTTCTTTGAGACATGGACTGAATTAATTTAATCTTGAATGCTATAAATGACAAGTAGACTAATGAACCCTGTATGATAAACCTCTCGATAACACGAAATGTGGCCTACTCGCTACAATGCCCGCTGATTGGATAGTTCGTGGGTGACGTCACGAAAACACTTGTCTACAGAACTGTTGTCATATAATTGACCTGTTCAATTCGTGTGGGGGTGGAATAAATGTGCTGCGTGTAGTTGACATTTCACCCGTATACCTAACGCTCCACTGACCTCCCTTAGCACAGGGGCTGACTACACCCTCAGAGCACAGACAAATGGGTTTAGAAGCCCTCACTTAAATGTATTTTGTGACCTTTCTGGAGGTTTGTAGACAGCCTTTGTGGTGTGTACAACCTGGTGCTTGCCTGTACTCTCATCTTCTTGGCTTGTTTGTAGTTTTTGTTACACTGTAATTCTCTGGTATTTTAATTTTCTCTTAGAAACCTCAATTAGTAAGAGTAAAAAAAATATTTTTTTTTAAAAGTCACATGTAATAAATAACTTATTATATCACATAATCACGGATGATTTCATTCTACTCTTGTGGAAAAAATTTCCGACGTTTACGAGAAACTACATACCTCCTACTTTATTAACCAAGACACTTGGTGAAGAGAACTCGATAAGAGATGTGTGTGTGTGTGTGTGCCGATTTCACACCTCCACACCCTTGCGGAACAAATTATTAAAATCGCTTTGTCTGTCCGTCAGTTCATACGCATGTAATAACTTTGAGAAAGACTGGACGGATTTTCATTAAATATTATATTGGAGACTTTTATTAAATCTGTCGATCCACTCCAAACTTCTATCAAAATCTGACAATAACTGGTAATTTACATGAAGACCTTCATGTGTTCCCGTGACCCCGAGTGAGTGGAAAAAAAAAATTATCCAGCCGTCAACAAAGGTCAAATGTAAAATTCTGCGTAACGGGACGTAATTTCTACGCTACTCGCATATTAGATAATTGGTTTATGATGAAACTCGTGTTACCATGGATCGAAACCACAGCATGTAATACATAACTTAAAAATGAGACCTACAGAAATACACTGCGTCATACAATCTTTTTTATTTATTTATTTATTTATAACAATAAATCGCCCTTACATAATTTTAAGTTTGGAATAAATTTTCACTCCAAATAAACGAAAGTAACAACTACGAGTTGACATACGAGGTGCTACCCAAAAGTTCAGGGAATTTGCCCATAAAAAGAAAATTGCTTGTCATAACTCTTAGTTTTGATGCAGATTCTTTGCTCCTTAAAATCTGTCATTTAAAAAAATCCCCAAACCACTACAACACGACGTCACAAAAACGCACGAGACTCAAGAACGCCTCGCCTTCATGGCTGTCGGCTCACTAATTCACAAAAGGTACTGCTCGCCCCATCTAGCGGCGGCAGGCCACTCCACAACCGGTTCGCGCGTGGAATTCAAGTTCCAAAAACTTTTAGGTAGAACCTCGTATTTCCCTCCTTGACAGGTAAGTAATATGTTCAAATTACTTCACGTTTGTTGAAAAATTCAAGATGTCACCGAAACGTAGCAAATTGTTACACGCTCCAGTACAATCCATTTCAAAACCAGTGTCATGACGTAAGGTGCCTTGTCTTATAAATCCTGTCATCTGAGACGAAATTCTTGGTTTGATATCACCTATGAACTTTTCCTTTTCTAACAGAAATAAATTCAGCATATCACAGTAGGAATTCTGTTTGAATGTCCCACAAGGCAGCTATGTTAACATCACAAATTCCACCCCAAAGAATCCACATATATATTTTCTTGTTCATTTTATCAGTCTAATCACAATAAAATATTATTATTAAATATTAAAATATTAAAATATTATTACAATTAACATTTAAATATTTAAAATATATTAAAATGATGATCTCTATCGAAATGTTCGATTTACATTAGAGCATCATATTTTAAATATTTAAATGTTAATTGTAATAATATTTTAATATTTAATAATAATATTTTATTGTGATTAGACTGATAAAA